GAGAGGTGCAGCGGATGCCCATAATGTGTGTGAGGGCATAATACACTCAACATGTAGAAAGGGAAGCATCATTTTGACACATCAGAAGGGTCATCACACTCGATGTGTGGAAGAGAAGTCATCACGCTCAATGCGTGGAAGAGAAGTCGTCGTGCTCGATGCACAGAAGATAATCATTGTGCTTGATGCATGGAAGATAATCATTGTGCTTGATGCACAGAAGATAATCATCGCGCTCGACGCACAGAAGATAATCATCGTGCCAGCGGCACGGAAGATAATATCATCATGCCAATGGCACAGAACAGGAGGAAAGGGATGTAGGTAAGAATACCCAAAGAGCGACTGGATGCAGGCCAGCACTAATAAAGAAGGCGTCTCCACGCACGAAACGCAAAGGAGACGCGAAAAGGAAAGGATGGAAAGAGGGGAAAGGAACAGAAGAAAGAGTTACTCACAATCTCAGCCACTTTCGATGCGGTGTTGAAACACGTAGGGAAGTCGTCCTTGTGAATATAGGAGTTGACGGATGCATGAAGCTTTGAGGCCTTGGACAGGTGTTGACACACCCTCAGCTTATCGGGTACACCTGGTTCTTGTGGCTGAACAGAGACGAGGAGAGAGGAGGATTGAAAGGGGCCTCGCAGAATCCTCTTGGTGACTTCCCGAGAAAAAGGGCCTGAGAGCCTGCCCGACTTGACTTCTTTGATGAGATAATCAGAAACAGTGTCGGGATAGGCGATGATGGAAGGATTGTTGGGCATAACAACGGTCTGGGAAAGGGAAGGCATATGGCCAATAGGGAAGCTGAAGTGCAAATTGAAGGGAAGGAGGGGATAGCTTTCGAAAAGGCCGTGTTTGTGCAATAAGAAGTCGAAAGCGCCTGGGTTGTATGGATGCAAGATCTTGTCAAATAGAGTGGAGTCCTCCGCAGAGGTAGAGGACAGAGGGGGGCGAGAAATAATCGAAGGAGAGAAATTGGAGTAGGAAAGATGAAGGGAAAGGGAAGCCTGAAGGAACGCATCAGTTTGAGGGTCAGGGACGGCAGATCCATGAGAAGGCGTGGTGGCGCTTGCTCTCACAGAAGGAGCAGAGGTGGGTGCGTTCGTCCTTGTGAGAGCATGGGTGTCCGCGCTCGCCTCTGAGTTCCACTGATGCAGATAACCTTGTTGTCGGGGCTGAGGAGGTTGTGGTCACTGTATTTTGACCATACGGCTTTCCCATCACTTTTAAACTTGACGACGATGGTGGTGTCCGTGTGATGGGTCGCGTCGTGGCCTCACTCAGCACAGATAAGGCAGTCAGGCGTTGAGGAGGAAGACCTGCCGCTGCCTGTTGAAAAGGGCTGGGAGGGACATGACTGAGAGGGGCGAGAGGCGAGTCGTGGTGTGAGCTTCCCAGTGAAAGGAGCTTTCATGGGTTCAGGACCCATCATCCCACAAATGTAAACCATCATCTCGTGCTGCTTCTTGGAAAGCTTGTAGGCCTGGTAGTAGTGTGCAGCATCATATTCTCCGTATTTAGCCCAATGTTCCTGTCAGAACTTCAGCTCATCAGGTTTCCAGGCATCATAAAGGTCATCTTTAGTGTCCTGGGACGTGTAAAAACAAAAATGATCGTTATACCAGTTACTGTGAGCATTGGCTGTGCCTTCCTCATCACGCTCCTTTTGGAAGAGATACATGTTGCCAGCAGCCTCCGTCCATTGGCTACAAGACAAGGAGAGCTCCTTGCCAAAACACGTAGAAAGCTTCTCGACATCAAGAATAATGGTGCCCTTTGTCTCACCAGGGTTTGGATTGGTCTTTGTCGTCAGCAAAGTAGACGCTTCAACATTCAAGATGTTCAAATTCTTATTAAGGAAAAAAGGCAGTGGAACAGCAATGCAAAGCTCAGTGTCAAAGAGGCTCTACGGAAAGGTGGCCTGCCAGGGAACTCCCACAACCCAAGGTACCATCTTTTTTCCATTCATGCAATGACGCTTTGCAATTCTAGCCTCCTCAGCAGAAAGTTTCCCATCATCAGCAGTTTTCCTTTTTGATTTTTGTTTGTCTTTAATTTCTTCATCGGCGATCCATTTTGCGAGTTTAGCATAGATTAAGTTCGGAAAGGAAGCAGCAAAGGAAGGAATGCGGAAGCGATGCAAGTCGGCGTCGTCCAAAGAAACCAAAGAAGCTTCATCAGAGCCGGGCTCGGTATGGACAGCGGGATCAGAAATGTGGTCGAAGGTCTTCCGAGACCTTGCAGCATTTTTGTCCTCAATCTCCTTGTTCATGTGGAGGATAGATACCAAGGGAAGATTTTTTAGCATTTGAATGATAGCCGGAGAGGTGTGAGTACGAGGAACACGAGAGGGAGTGGTGAGAGAATCAGGGACAGGTGTGGCAGCCGTCTGAGAGACAGGTGTAGCAGGCATTTGAGAGACAGGGGTAGCAGCAGTCTGGGAGCTTTCAGCACTAGCAGCAGCTTGAGAGTTTTGAGGGCTGTCAGTCATCGCGAGGTCGAAGAACAAGTGTTGAAAAAATTCGAAAATTTTACAGAAATTGAGGGCTCTTTTTGCCGCGTCAGAACGATGAACTGAGGACAAGGAGAATGCAGTCTCCTTGTCTAGGAATCGGAGACATGCACAGGTGTTTGTACTTATGAGTACAAACGCAAGATTTCGTTCTGACGCGTTACCGTTATCTTATCCGATAATGAGCTTGCACTCATTCCTCATGCTTGCTCATCGCGGATCATCTTTCGGCCAAAGCCATTGTGACCTGGCGTGACAACAGTTTCAATATGCTGATATTTTTGAACCCTGAGTACCGGATCGCCTCCGACAGCGAACATAACACATCTACAGTAAAAGAAAGTAGATATTCGTATAGAAGACAAAAATGTACATCGAGTTGTCAAAAGATCGAAAGGATGGGACAAAATGGTGAGCCAACAATCGTGCAACACTGAAAAAGTTTCAATATCCTGTATTAAATAATTCAACTCGGACGTTCGCGGTCGTGTGACTGGATTTACTTCTACTCCTAAGTATAAAGTCTGGCTCTGTCACCTCTCTCCCCAAAACCATCATCATACCTGTCCTTTCGGGCTCGTAGGGACTTGTTCTTATCAGAATCAAACGCTATCCAAAAAAACCGACATGTTGCGTGCGTCATTGAAGCTTGTTTTGAGACGGTCAGCGGGTTGGAGGCCAGCGGTTGGGACACCGAGGAGTATTTCAATTGTTGGGTCAGGACGAGGGCAAGGGCGTTTTGAGGTATTATGTCTCCCTATTGTCTGTTGCGGACGGATGAAGCTAATCCTGAATAGGCCGAAGCGTGTCCTACAAAGCACGCGCCAGCCCCGGTCAGCGAGAGATTCGCGTCCAGATACCAGTTTCCCGATGAACAAGGAACGCCTCCAGATCAATTCGATTTCCTGAGCCTTGAATCGTTTGAAACCATGTCGCATAATCCAAAGTTTTGGTTACCACTCCCCGACCCTGACCGTGCGCTCTCGACCGCGTATCTTGTCCTTGTCCGGATGATCATGTACATGGGCCGTCCAAAGGTATCGGACGAGGAGAGAAACAAACACTGGGAGGTATATATGCGCTCCTTTTCTTCCTTGATCACGCCCACTAACAAAACGAACAGGATCTTGAGTTTGCGGCTGCCCCACCAACTTCAGAGATTGGGCGCGCTAGGACCTGTGTTTCGATATGCACCAGCGTGATCGCTCACATTCTCTCTTCGACCCCGAATGACTCGCCATTACGCATGTCCCATCCACAAGTTTTTGAAACCAACGAGGCTCTTGTAATGTTGTACGACTCCTTTTTGGCTGACAGAGTAAAAGACGGGAAGGGGTGGGAGGTGGGTATAGATCAAACAGAAGAGTGGCGCGAGTTTTGGAACTGTGCTCTTGCGGTGTTGACGCAACTTGCGATGGACTTGGATTTGGCGGGGTTTGGGGTGTCGGACGAGACACCGGATGAAGCTTGGAGGGAAGCATGAGCTGTTGCGGACTTGGCGCCCTGACCATACTGCCTTTTTCTTCTTGAGCGGGATTTTTTGTTGCAACTCCCGACTTTGAGTAATTTTTGAGATGACTCGCAGTTGAACCAAAAAACCTAACCCTAACCCATCAGCCAACCCCACTCTCACGGCTTCCCTCCTCCGAGTTCACCGTCCACGTCTTCCGCAACCCCTCAACTGTGTGACGTAAATCCAACAAAAAGTCTTGTTTTACTCTACGTCGTCCTGAAAGGCCCGCATCCAAAATATCCTCCTCATAGACTTGGATAGTGCGTGGTTCACGGACTGGTTGCAATCCCCCAAGTCCCGAAACCTGGACGAGTTCACGCGAGGCTTCGGTACGTATGTCATCTCACCGTGCCAACCCACTAACCAAGCAGCGAGCATTTCAATCCGCCTTTGCTCCATCAACCTCCATCGTTCACACTCTCTCATCTATCCCAGACGACTCATCATTACGCAAGGCCCACTCAAACACCTTTGATACCACTCAGGAACTGGTGCTTGCGCGATCGAGATATTCTTGGCATATCGTGTGCGAGAGAAAAAGGGACGGGAAATGGTTACAGAACAACTCCGAGGTGGACCGAATTTTGGAGGTGCACTTTGCTGGCAGTGCTGATAGAACTTGGAGTTTATCTAATTGGACGAAGCAGGTTGTGAGAAGTCGGCTGGTACTTGGAGGGGGGAAAGGATTAGCTGGCTTTCGCAGGCAGCAAGCAAGCAGCAAGACGCTATTTTCATGCTTCGCAACTGATTCGCAACACTTCGGGGGCTGTATCTTTGGCCATGAGGCTTCAGGCTCTCCAAAGAATAGCTTGCGGTTTCTGTGTCCACGTCAAGATTTTTTTCATCAGGGTCTCGAATCCCTGCTGGTCATAGCCTTGGGCGCCTCCAGTTTTGTTTCAAACAGTTATAGATCGATGAAAGAGGACACGATCATTTAGCAGGCTCAGCTTGTCCCCCCCCCTTCCATTCATATCTACGCCCTACTATGGCCCAGACGCGTCAGCGTATAACATTTTTTTGGAGCGAACGTTCCTAGCGGGGGATGTGATTTCTGGAACGGGATACGGTTAGCACACTCAAAATCCTTGTCTTTGCCGCTGACAACTGTTGTAGGCATCCAAGTCATCCTCTTTGTATCCTGCGCGACCATTCTCTACTCGCAGTACTCCCGCTCCCTGCGTTCCTCCTCTTCCTTCTTAATCAAGGGGGACACAAGAGCCCTGTTCCTCCTCCTCTATATAACCCTCCTGTTCGTCGTCGAATCGATCTATACCGCAGTTCAAGCACGCACTGTACAATTGATGTATATCGATAACCGAAACTACCCTGGGGGACCGTGGGCTTACTTCCTTGCGACGCAAAAACTCCCGGTTAACGTGAATCGTTACGTGATGTTCTACGCTACGCTGTTCGTGTTGACGTTTCTCTCAGATTTTGCCCGTGCTTTTCCACCCCGCGCAGCGTGTACCCCACTTGAGTATGAGAACGAACGGTGACACTGTCATTCGGATGTGCTTGATCAAGGGGACGACTTGGATCAAGGTTACAGCAATTCGTGGCAATGCTTAGCTCTCACTCAGAGGGCTACTAAACCGCACAAAGTCGAAAGGGAAGACTGCTGTTGGGCAAGTAGTGGAATAAACCTCGTGAATGATGACTGCATGGTGTAACACGTACCTATGGGTCTTAACCTTTTCCGCCATGTGAAAAGAAGAGTTTGGTAAGTCAACATGGCGCAAATAACAGCACACAACAACGCCTTGATTTCGAACCACCATCTTCAAGTTGCTCACCAACGTGGAACGTTTTCCAGCTAACTGCATACTCGCAGACCACTCCGAAATTTCTTTCGAGCGTCCCTGTTTGGACCCCAAACAACCGTTTTAGGCCTATACGCCATCGGGCCACGGGAGTCGGGAACTTGGCGCGCCGCCCCACGTCATAAAGGCGGGGTTCGTCAAGGGTTTCTCTAGCTGTTTTGTGTAAACAATGGCGGACTAAGGAAATCTTGTCAACGGTCTACAATTCTGCAGGTACGTAGCTGTCAGCTAATGCACGGAAAGCAACCGAGCTCACACTCGCAATCGAGAGAGAGGTTTGTCTTCATCTACTGCCAGTGTCCTGCGTATGCTGCATAATTCACATATTTGGATCCGTCACCGGTCAGGTCGAAGATGAGCCGACTTACTACTCCACGTGCCGAACCGGATGTATCTACTCATGACGACGAAACCGACGCCTACCAATGGCTCCACAGAAAATTTCACTGCTGTCTTCGAAGACGCCGAAACGGTACATGTGGTTAGTTGAACAAACGAACGACCATTACGGTTCCTTCAGGCGCCTTCTGCATGGTTTTTCGAGGTGTCTACCGATACAGCCTCAAGCTTACCGCTCAAAGTCGACTCAGGAGTCTATAATCTGCCGTGGACAAGTTGATTCCGCCTTGGCCTAGGCGAATTTTTTTGGCCTAGGCCTTGCATGTCGGGTTTTCCTTGATGGTCATTGGTGGTTCTGTTATGAACCCTAAATACAACTGTCAACGCTCCATTCCCCATTCCCCAGACTACGACTCTCCGACTCTCCTTCTGCAACAAGTCAATTGTATGTCAATCGATAATTTTCCCTCGTAAAACAATCCCTAAGGTCCCCTGAGTCTATTTTTTCTCCTTTGAGGCCAAGGTCGAACGTCTCTGGCCCAGGCCTCCTGGTTTCTTCGACATTTTATCTCGGCGCTCACAGAAGCTCCGATTCTGATGTCGTCTTTCGGTCGATGGACTCTGTTCTGTTCTACATCAACTCAGACGAATTGGCGAGTGTCTCTAGCACTGCATTTTTTGCGCAAATGAGAGTTCGCAGTCACCTTGATGGAGTGATCGACATCCCAGACAATGCGGACGTTCTGAGGATCATCCTGTGCGTCTTGTATGACGTGCCGTGCGGGGGTCGTTCACCATCGTTCAACGACTTGGAAAAGGCGATAGATCGGATGACGACGCACGGTGTTATCCCGAAGGCGCATATTCTGCCTTCAACGCATATCCACGCCCTCCTTCTGTCGCATGCGTTGGAGAACCCATTGGTGCTATATTCTCTCGCTGCACACCATGGCCTTGATGATCTTGCAACGAGCGCGTCGGCACATCTTCTTTCCTGGTCGCTACACGATATCACAGATGATAATACCAGGCGCATGGGGCCGATATATCTGCGGCGTCTTATGAATCTCCAAATGCAACGAACGGAGCTCCTTAAACGTCTCCTCATGCAGCCTCCAGACGCCCACCAACACACTAGGGTGTGTGGATACGCAGAGCAGAAGAAAGTCTCGGACGGGTGGATGATGGTAGCTGCGCCTCTGGTGTGGTCGGCTAGGCCCGGTACGTAAGTTATCTATTGAATGAGGTCAGGCTCAACGTCATAGAATTCTCAACGGACGCTATTCAAATGGCGTTTTCTGTGCTGGAGGATGGTTTAATTTGTGAGATGTGTCGCATTTGTTTGGATGTGAGGGTTAAGGATATACTCCTGCAATGGTCGTCTGCGAAGGTTAGCGTTATTTATCTGCGTCAGGAAGATATAGTCTCATTTTGTTACGTTATGTTAGAAGACGATTTAGTTTTGTACCGGTCGCTAGTGGTAGCCCACTAGTAGGTGACTTTTTGGGGGGAGATGCCTCTGAAGGCCCCTTGATCCCATTTGAATCGTGAAGTCCGCACGAAATCAGATATAAAAATGCTCTGCTTTGTGGTATTGTTTACTAGTTCTGCCAGAGCCTTAGGGTATATGCGAACAAATTGACGATCATATTACATAGGAAGATGTGACTATATACGGGAAGGGGCGGGAAGGCAACGCATTTGACCAGCTCTAAAAGTAAGCGAAATGAGCGGCGGAATCGATAAGTACCATCCGAGTCCCTTCAAGATGTTTGGTCGAGCCGTCGATGGCAAACACTTTCTGTTCACAACGACCACCAATGTTATCTCCATTCAACCTACCCGAAGGCATCCTCCTCCTGATAACAGACGAACTAGCCGCTCCAGTTGACTTTCTCCTCCATCGGAGCCTGATATCGCACATCAAAGAAACGAATCGACCAACAAAAACGATCGTGTTGTCCGTTTCAGAGGACCTGGCGAGGTGGAAAGCGGTTGCGTCCAAGCTTGTTCGTATCCACCCGAAGTCTCTTGCATGACCTTGTTGAGTAATTAACTGTGCGACAGAACCTCAACATCTCGCACCAGATAACGAATGGATCGCTGGAATTCATAGATGTTATGAAGCACGTCCAACCGGATTTTCGTGCCCCAGCTCCTCGAGAGACGGCAGATCTACATACATCACCGACATTACGTCCCCTATTCGATCTCTTGCAAACCGCATTACAAAAAGCGGACCACGGGGACGCGAAGCTGGTCATCCTGGACGATATCGCGACGTTGGAGTGGATAGGTTTCTCGTTGCTTGATGTTAGTAGGTTTGCGCGTGCGTTACGGAGTGCGTTTTGAAGGTACGTCCTGTTGTTTTCGCTTGATTCACTCAGGCTGAGAATTGACGATGCATAGGCGAAAGCGACTCTGATCATCCGCCAACACGTCGTTACGCCTGGGGATCCTGACGACTTGTTTCGGCACCTGCTGCAAATGTGCGCATATCATATGGACGTAAGGCCTCTTGCTAGTGGACGGAGTGGGGCTGTTAGTGGAGAGGTTCGTGGGCGTTTTATCTGATGTCGTGTTTCTGGTGGTAGTCGTACTGAAAGTTCAATTGACAGGTTGCGTTGCATTTGGGACCTTCTACTCCAGTTGGTGGTGGTGTCAACTTGATTCCTCGTAATGCGGCGCTTCAGTATAAGCTGGCGGATAATGGGCCTGTTTTTTTTTCAGCGGGGAACTGGGGGTGGGGTTTTGTAGGGCTGAGATGTTGAGGTTGATTCGACAATTTTTATCCTGTTAGATTAATCCTTTTGAGTATAAGTGAGCAGGTCCTGAAGCAGGAAGCCAACACGCGAGTCGGCAAAAAGTGAAGCGTTTTATATTATGACTCTCTGTCTGGGAGTCGAACCCAGCTTTCGCGCGATCACATCCTAGCAAGATTCATGACAGGCGCGTGTACTAACCGATATACTAACAGAGAATTTAAAGAGGTTGATTAGGATCATGCATGTGGCGCTTTCGACTCATCTCGAGAAGATGTTCTGGGGAAAATCTTGAGGTAGCGGCCATGGTGAGGACCCCCGAAATTCCTGCTAAATGATAGATACTAAAATGGCCGATTTTCAGATTCTTGTCCGTACCAATTTTGGTGAACTCTGTCCGGATTTTATCTAGCCTAGTCATAATATAAAATTTTTGTCCGGACTACGTATCTAGCCGTATTTAGGGCCCAACTTTGTCCGGAATCCAGTATCTGGCCTCCAGAGGACTGGAATTATAAGGAAAAGTGGAAATCTGGCTAAATTACGAAACTACGGACTGTCCTCGGCCTTTTGGCGCTTCCTAAAGGCCTTCATTGCCTTTCTGAGCTGTTCCTTCCCCTTTTTCAAGTCATTGAAGAGTACCATATCGACGGGAGAGAGTTCAAATCCACTATTGTTGACTTTCAACGGTTGGGTATTCAGAAGTGTCAGAAAACTTGTTGGTGGCAGCAGGACGTATTGGTGTAATTGAAGCAATGCGGTGACCTCCGGAATGGAGCGGAACTGGGCACCGTGACCGCTGTGCTCGAAAACTTGTAGAACGATCTTCGAAAGGGCGGCGATGTTGCTTGTGACGTCCGCGGGCTCATGCCTGCCATTTTTGGCCGCGGTCTTTTTGACTGGGAGCTCATAAGAAGGGAATAGTCGTTGGGATTGTGACTCCGGAACTTGCAGTACAGCGTTGCAGGCGTCCGACACCTCGGGTGGTACATCTTGGTAGTTTTTCTGGACTCCAATCCAATCTGATTCTTTGAAAACACCTTCAGCGTCGAGGGCTATAATGCTGAAATGCATGGTTTTACTGCACATTTCACGCCACATTATTTTCAATATATCATTCGGTACCTGATCACATGTCGAAAAAACAAAAATAAAAAAGTTGACAACAGGGTTCGAACGGCAGACTACATAGACTCAACCATAAGTTGTTGCAGCTACAATTATCCGCTGCACTAAGCAACCATACATGTCCAGTATGTATCTAGCCTGTCAACCTCCTTGGGAAGCTGTCTGGATTTTGTATCTAGCATTTTGCTCATTTCGCTGAAAACCTGTCCGGTTTGTCTCTAGCCTAGCACCCCCATTTCCAAATTTTTTGTCCAGATCCATATCTATCATTTAGCAGGAATTTCGGGGGTCCTCCATGGTGCCATGTCTGGAACCAAAAAGATGCCCGATTTGGACATAATTCTCAAAGCGGTAGTGCCATCAGACCCTACTTTCCATTTCAGAATTTATGTCTATATCCGGCTTATTGTGAACGAATTAGGCATCTTTTACGTAGTGTTGCCGCAAGGCGAGCTGAGCTCGAGGTCAACTTGAGCTTGGCTTGGCCCTTTTCTCAATTAGGAAACTCGAGGTGATCAAGCCGAGCTGAGGCTCGAGCTTTATGTCAAGGTTGATTGATCGCATTTCCGTCCTTGTACACGCTGCCATCGCTGCCGTCTCCTTGATTCTGTACCACCACATTCACCTTTCATTCGTTTACCGCAACATCAACCGCCGACCACGCCCCCACCGACATTTCCCTTTGCTAGAACTCCCCCAAAACTCCCCCTGTACTTGCTTATATACGCAATCAAATTCATCATTTCACTATATCGATTCAAGGAGCGAATGAAACGCGAACGCGCCAAGGGTTCGCGTCTGAGGACGCGTCGTGCGTTGTTGAACAGTTTGTTGATTGGGTGAATTAAGGTTTGAAATTGGAGGTATAAAACGGAGAGAATTGAAAAGGTTGCAATCCCCACTTGGATGGTGCAGGTGCCGCCATCTTGTAGGTGTCTTAATCCTCATTTGTGTTCCTGCACCTCACAACCTTTGTCACCTACCTACCACCCTCAGCAGCACATGTTCTCAGTACAGCTGCAGCCTGCAACTCCTACAAGTCCTTACGTGCACACGCCATGGGGTTATCAAACCCATCTCAACCCCTCGAATCCACTGCCACCCCCTGCCTATGTCTCCGGCTTCCAGAATGTCTACCAGGCAACATACAGTGCTCAGAGTAATCCCTATCTGGATGTTATCATCACTAATTATAACTTGACTCTTTTTGCATTATATTCACAGCTTTCTTGTATCATACTTACTTTATTTCGCTACCTATTGCCTGGTCGTACTTACAGATAACATATAATTTCAATACTTCCAAATTGAAATGATGTTTGATGGGGGCTTCGAGGTGATTGAGCCAAGGTGTACCTCGAGGTACCTCGAGCTGATCGGAGTTTGATTGTTTTTCAGCTCGAGCCACCTCGACCTTGGCTTGCGGCAACACTACTTTTACGTGTTTGCTTGAGTCACACGATTACTAATACTAATTCTGCACACTCAAGATGTATCTTGCCTGTTACTGCACCAATTTCTGTTGTTGAACATGCAAAGTAGCACTAAAAAAATAGGCCATTGCAGGGGTACTCATATTGAGGAAGAGCACAAGGCAGGAAATGTCAGATCACAAACAAAAAATCAAATGGAAGAAACATCTGTTTCCCTCCATAGTGTCTGGTTCTCACTTACTCAGAATCCTCATTTCAAAGCTATGGCTCCCTGGTTATCAGGAAAGGTCAATTCTAAGAATAACTTCTATAAAATTGATGAGCATTTTGAATTTTTTACTATAAATCAACTAAAAAAAGTGGCAAAATGAATAGATAAAAGGAAGAAAATCTAGCAGAGGATTCAAGCACCAAGCTATGCTGCAGAGTTCTTGAACCATTTTTATATATTTATAATGAGAGCATGGGGAATCAACACCACTGACAGCTTGGGGAAAGAAAATCTGGAGAAAAGTAAATATGTCTGCACTCTCAGCAACAGGTATTGCATCCATTTCCTTGGCATCCATGTCCTCAGGCATGGTTATATATGTTGAGTAAAACCTCCAGGTTTACACCCAGAGGAGCCTTCAGCAGACAGTTTCTCCTATTTCTTTTGGCCAAAATGCACAAGGTAAATTTTTACAGTGGAAAGCACTACTAGGATTATTCAGTTCTACTTCAAGAAAAAGGAGGTGCATGGTCTGCTTTACTTCTGCAAGGGATGATCAGATGCATGCATGTGCAGGAAGAGGTGGAAGGGGAAAATGTCAATTCTCATGAATTCTCCCCCAATCTATGGGTTTGAGTTATATCCATGCTTTCTGGTGTTTATAAATTTTTAAGTGGTGCTGTGAGGTTTTTGGTGCTTAAAAATGTAAATAGGAGAGTAAGAAGTCAGAGCAAACATATTTTTGAAAAAAGAAATTGCAGCCTGCAGCAATTGAACTGGAGACCTCACCATACATAAAAAGTCTCAATCAAATCTTTCCATTGAGCTAAGTCACTCTTTTAAGTATTATAATTTATAGTGCACAAGTTATGGAGTTTTTGATTTTTGATCCTCTTTAAAATTGGTTCCAGACATGGCACCATGGCCGAAAGAGAGAACCAAACTTGTTTCCAAAAACCGTTATTAGTAAGTAGTTATATTGAGATTTAATGACGAGTATTGTATGTATTAGTAGTTCACCAAAACTTGCGAGACTGAGAAAACTCCTACACACTACTCGTAATATGTCAGACACGATTAAGGAGAGCAGCACCGAAGTAAACTAGTACCGCGACGATGCTATACGTACCTCCCCCATCGCCGATCGGGATCCAAAATCAAACAAATCCTGGCACTTCCGTAATTATTTATGCAAGGTAAAGCAGGTCTGAAGGCAGGTAGATCATGTTTTGGGTGCACGCCAGTTGGCCAAAACACGGAAGCAACTCACTCTCTGTTTGGGAGTTGAACCCAGCCTTCACACTATTAAATACATGAAAGATAGCAGTTGGATAGCAGTGTGTATTAAATGATATAGCTAACAGAGAACTTCCAAGAAGTAAATTATGCTCACTCATGTGGTGCTTTTGATGCATCTGACATGGGACGACGATGTGCTTGGGTTCACGATGAGATTGGTTATAACTCCCAAAAATTAAGACAGGACTTCAACAAAAAAGAATCAGGACATTGTTGAACTTTCTGTTTCCAAAATTCGAAAAAAGAAAAATTTATGGATATACAGCTGTTTTGGATACTATGTAGTTATCTTGGATATGTCTCATACTCCTGCATTTTTATGAGATCCAGTTCCAGATAGCGTACTGCTGCTAATGTATGTCTGCAGGGTACCTTTACAAAAAAAAAAACCCCAAAATTTGATCAGCATCACACCTAAGGCCTAACCAGGCGGGTGCGTTGGGGAATCAAGATGCAGGTTGAACGCTGAACATTATTTGAAAATGAACCCGACTGCACAAGTTGGTACATACGAAAAAAATTGTTCAATAACACCTACTCTGTGTCTGGGAGTCAGCTGACGCGCGTAACGGCTTCCAAGGACTGCCATGACAGGTGCGTATGATGACTGATATATTAACAAAGATGGTTGAAAGAGTGTTTTAATTGCGAGATTGATCAAACTCCGTAACTGACGAGATGTTGCTCAGATACAACTTGTAAGGAGAGCAATAAGGTACCGCAACAATATCCTCGGCTATCACTGATCGGAGTTCACATTCAAATCCAAACAAATTTCTCCCTCCTCCCATCCACCACACGTGAGTTGGTAAAGAGAAAAAATACAGTTGGTACATATGGACTGCCTCACTGTCTGGGAGTCGAACCCAGCTTTCGCGCAATCATTTCCAAGCTTAAGAAGTTGAATGTCATAACAGGCGCATGTAGTAACTGATATACTAACAGAGAACATGCAAACAAGTACACCAAGATCACGAATGTGGTGCTTTCTACACACTAGCTATAGGTTGATTCTTTCAAATTAAATTATTTTTATCTGAGGTACTTAGAGCAGCAGGTAGCGATGATGTTTTGAGAACATCCGAGTTGGCAAAAACAGTACTACCAAGAAATGCATCAAATTTTCTGTCTGGGAGTCAAACCCAGCTTTCATATGATCATTTTGAAAAGCATATGCGATGACAGGCACGTGTACTAACCGATATAATAACAGAGAACATTAAAATAAGTAGATTAGGATCATCAATGTGGTCCTTTCGACGCACTCACTAGGTTGATCCTTTCAAATCTAATTATTTGTCTGGGGTAGAGCAGGTCCGGAGGCAGGTTAGCCATCATGTTCTGGGTACACGCGAGTTGGCAAAAAGAATGCAATAAATAACCAAACTCTCTGTCTGGGAGTCGAACCCAGCTTTCGCGCAAGCATTCATACGATCCGCGAAGTCATGACAGGCGCGTGTACTGACCGATATACTAACAAAGAACTTTACAGAAGTAGATTAGGGTCACTAACGTGGTGCTGTCATATCTCACAGATGGGACGACGATCCGCTCAGGTTCTTGGTGAGGTCGATGGGGAACTTTTAGAGGTGCTAGGCCTAAGGCGGAACTTTCGAAAAAAAGAATCAGGGCATTGTCGAACTTCCTGTTCAAAAGAAAAAAAAACTTACGGATACTTTGGATATGTCACATACTCCTGCATTTTTATGAAATCCAGTTCCAGACAGCGTACTGCTGCTAATGTATGTTCGCAGGGTACTCTTTCACAAAAAAAGAAACCACAAAATTTAATCAGCAACACACCTACCGAGGCGCCCGCGTTGGGGAATCAAGATGCTGGTCGAACGCTGAACGGTATTTGAAACTAAGCCTGAATGCACGAGTTGGTAAAATAAATCAATTCTCGAAAGGTACACAGCTCCTCTCTGTCTGGGAGTCGAACCCAGCTTTCGCGCGTAAGTCCATAGCACTGGGTCTGCGATGACAGGCACGTATAATGACCGATATATTAACAAAGATGGTTGGAAGAACGTCTTTATTTAAAGTGTCATACCTACATAAGTGCTTACAAGTGCGAGACTAATCGAACTCCGTAACTGACGAGATGTTGGTATGGGTCAGATACAACTTGAAGTTGACTTGAAGTTGTAAGTAAGTATGGTCAACAATATCTTCGGCGATCACCGATCGGAGTTCAAATCAAACGAAATTCTCTCTCCTCCCATCCACCACTTTTCGCCCTCCTCAAGAAAAACAAGATCAAAATGGTACGTGAGACCCTCTTGCGCGGAGGAGTTCGACCAGCTGCGGTTCTCCATCGCACGTTTTGTGTTGGATGAGTGAGAAATTGGGATGGATGGTGAGTTTTTGGAGTGGATGACGGTTTTGTGCCCTAACAAACATCTCTAATAGAACTGTATGGAAAAAGTAATTGAGACTCGTTCTCGGCTGAGCCATTGAGCTATGAAGCCTACTACTTTACTTTTGCTGGGTTGTGCGTACTCCTACGAGTACGCACGACATTAGAGCTCCGAAGCGCGATGGTTTTCTTCTCTTTTGAAGAAGTCATCGCTCACTTCGTCTCAATGACCAGCCCAAAGCCAAATCCGGAACTGGCAGGAAACCCGCCGCGGCCCCCTTTGGTGCGAGCAAGACCACCAAGGCGAAGAAGAACCCTTTGTTCGAGGCGAATGCCAAGAACTTTGGTATCGGTGCGTTTTCTTGTCGTCATCTCAATTGGTATTCTCAAAACTCAGCTTGGACCACACACAGGTCAGGACATCCGACCCCAAACTGACCTCACGCGTTTCGTCAAATGGCCCGAATACGTCCGCCTGCAAAGGCAAAAGGTCATATTGCACCACCGTCTCAAGGTCCCACCTGCCATTGCCCAGTTCTCGCACACACTGGATAAGAACACTGCCACACAATTGTTCAAGCTGTTGAACAAGTATCGCCCCGAATCGAAGCAGGAGAAGAAGGCCCGTTTGACTGTTGCTGCTGCGTCTGCTGCCGAGGAGAAGGAGAATGATGCCAAGGTCCGTTCATTCCCTCCCTTTCATTCGCTACTCAACCTCTGACATTATTATGAACAGGACTCCAAGAAGCCCCTCTTCGTCAAATACGGCCTCAACCACATCGTCGCCCTCATCGAAGCCAAGAAAGCCACGCTCGTCGTCATCGCATACGACGTCGACCCCATCGAGCTCGTCGTTTTCCTCCCTGCCCTGTGCCGCAAGATGGGCGTCCCATACGTCATCGTGAAGGGTAAAGCCCGTCTCGGAACCGTCGTGCACAAGAAGACGGCTGCCGTTGTCGCTCTTCAGGAAGTGAAGAGCGAGGATCAGAGGGAGCTCGCTACGCTTGTTAGCGCTGCCAAGGCTAACTTGTGAGTTTTTTGTTGTTGTCCTTATTTATGTGAGGGTGTTGATGGGGTTTGGTGGATAGCTCTGACAAGTATGAGGAGCAGCGCCGTGTGTGGGGTGGTGGACTTCGTGGCAATAAGTCTACCCAGATGCTTAGGAAGCGCGCCAAGGCTGCTGGGCAGAGTACGACTGCTGCTTCGCTTGGGAAGCTCTGAGCGTTTCGCGGGGGACGTTTGGAGCAGGGTCCCTTGGAACCTTTCGAGCGGTCTGGGAGTCTGGAGTATCTGCGTACTTGCAGCTTATGTTTATGCACAAATTTATCGTCATGTTCGTATGCGTTATGTGGTTCTTGATGTTGCGTTATGCAGTGAATGTAGTCCAGAATGCCTCGTCTCTGAGTGCTTTTATCATGTCTCTGGTTTTTCGTTGCTGGTTTGAAGCCGCGACTCTCTTGCGGCTCTCTCTTGTGCTTACCTTACCATCATCATCCCTGCTTTTCCCAATACTTGTATCTGTGCTTTTCTCACTGGGCCTATGACAATATATATTATGCCTGTTGGTGCTTAAGGCAAACTAAGAGACGTCAAGCTATCTGATTTATAAGACTTATCCCCGAGTCTCTGGGAGGGTTGTGTCGGTCGCGAATGATTGAATTTGAATGGGAACTGAATACTGTGGTTCTCCCAATTCTAGAAAGGTCGAAAAATTCCTGTATATAGGTAGCATTTACTGTAAATGGATATCGGAATTTGAAATATCGATCAGTAACGCGTGCTAACATTCTGCGGGGATTGAAGTTGTGTCTGATAATATGGTGGAAGGTTCGAGAGCTTTCTTTGCGCGGCTGCTCGTAGGTTCACGTCTTCGATGAACTTTCACGTCACATCCGGCCTTGTCAAAGTAGTTTCCAATGTAATAAGAGATCTCAATGTTTAGTAAAATAGCATTACCACAGTCAAATGATTCAAAAGGATAGATGAGAATAGTATACATGAGATAAAATCGAATCCCAATGTCCAACTACAACTCATCCGAGTTGTTATGCAGTCGATCACTCGCTGCAGACTGGGAAACAGAGTGAGGCTGCGGCTGCGTCAAGCGAAGAGGACGAGAGGTATTGGGGAGAAGGACAGACGTGGTATCTTCTGAAGGTCGTAAAAGCAAAAGTGGACAGGCGCCCCTTCTTCGCCAAGGGAATGGGGATCGGATTAGTGGGTATGAGATTGACTACAAGCGGGGAGGGAACGGGAGAGTGACGTTGGCCTTGAGGATTAGTTTAGAAGGTGCAATGACGGGTCGGGAGAGGTGGATGAGTTTGGAGAGACAACGCTGTTGGTTCGAAAACTCACCGGAATACACCTCACGCCTTGAGAAGCATAAACAGGATGGGCACTTTGCTCCCATTGTCCCATTTCCCCGAACACACCGAATAAGCGTATGCGGCTTGAGTTGTTTTTTGCGGTTTGATATGGTGAGCGAAGACGATGACGTGTCGAAAGGCAGCGAAGGAGTGAATGCCGGTCCTCCAGATAGTACGGTTGGAAGTGTCGTGTCGAATCTCGGTAGGTAGCGAAGAAATGGATGGTCCTTCAGATCTTCAGACGGTACAGGTGGATGTCGCTTAAAGGATACCGTTCTTCATACTGTCAAGGGCAGTGCTTGCAATGCTGTTGGTGCAGCGGACACTGGAAATGTTTAAGCAGATACGGGCAATAAATGTGAAAGCAAAGTTGGCGCATCTGGCTTTTTCATCGCGAATTGGTGTCCGTTATTGGGTTTGGTTGTAGTTGGAGTAGAATGACGAGGCTTGTTTCTAACGAACGGGTGGTAGATGTTGCGCAACGATTGGCGAAAGTCGCGGGGCGTTGGTACGAAAGGAATGAAAGAGTTATGTAACCTTCAAGTTAGCATATCGGAGGTTGCGATTGCTGAAATTCTTGAATGGAACCGTATACCGTGTTGGAATATCGGAGTGTGAAATATTGATCAATGACACACGTGGTTTGATTCATCAGCAACTGAAAATCTGGCTTGTCTGAAAATTTTGCCGCCCTTTCTCGTTCTCCGTTCTCAGGCGCTTTCCCCGTGACGGGGTGACGCCGTCCCAGCTCGGCGTCACCGCTCAGCACCTTACGTCAGCCACTCTCTCTGGCCCTCGTCACAAGCGCTCTCTGTGTTTCCTCCTCCGGCCTCGCTCCGCCTCGTCACCACGCTTTGGCTGGTGGCCGCCCGTCGTCGTCACATTGCTTTGGCGTGGGGCGGGCCACCTGACTCGCCGTCCCCGCTCCGTCCTCCCATCCTTTCAACCTCTCCCTCGGTCCCTTTTTGCCTTACTACCCTCACCCCGCTTTTCCTTCGCATCCACGCTGTGCTCTCAACCACTTTCCACCACTTCCTGGCTCATCCCTAGCTTCAACTCATCCGCTTTCCAATTTGACACCTCGCTGCCTGCCTGCTCCTCCACCCTAGCAACCACACGCTCGCTTCTTGATGTTTGGAAGGTCAGGATTTTTGTGTTCGGAACGTTCGAGGGGCATTGCGACTCTGCGAGCTAGAGGGTTGGTATTTTACTGTATATGTAGCCATTCAAGTATTCAAAACTTCATACATCCGTATTTTGTCCGTGTTTCAACATACTGTAGCCTGTAGTAAAAATTGCTGACCCCATTATGTCTGAATTACTGTCGGAATCATGTGCCAAGTGGCCATCATGTATGGTAAGGTCGAGAGGGAAAACATGGTAGCGGCTGGATCCTGTTTTCAGCTTGCTCTCAGAGTCCTTGCTTGTGAGATCAATGATTGCGTATTGTGTTCATAGGCAGCTCATCTCCTTGCTCCTCGAAATCGAGCATGTCCAGAATCAAGGAACGCTGGGGCTTGGTTGGCATCCTCCCCCGTGTATGGAATAGTATCCATCATTAGTGCTCCCAACTTTGCACCATGCCGTTTAACTGTGCTTTTTTCTGTGGCTGTCCTTGGGCTGTCCTGGAACCCATACTTTGAAGCTGGTGGGTCAAAATCCCCTCATGAAGTTTCCTCTTTGTTGACAAAACTGTGCACAGCTAGGTATGTCAGTACTTTTCTTCAGTATTTTTGACTTCTTTGACTTCATCCAAAACTGACTGACATTGCCACCAATCTGTAGCTCCAATTAGTGCGTTCGACGAGGTAAACCAACCCCGTCAGCCCCAGAATTGTTTTTTATCATTACTATCTCCGCAACCAATCGGCTCCAATATGTCCACCATTCTCCCCAACTTCTCTCCGCCATACGTGCTAATAAAATTCTCAAACATGCACACCTCGTTCTCTTCTTGAACAAGGTGCGGTTAATGTTGGAAGACCGAAGAGCTCAATTTCTTTTCATTAGATCTAAGGGTCCAAAAATAAGTAGTGTGTCTGCTTTTTCGCCGACATCGCATTGTTGCCTCACCCCACCACTCATTTTTTTATTCAGTATCACCAGCTATGGAGATAGCCTGAGACCAAACACCTACGAAAGTGTTTCGGGTTATTTGCGAAACAACTTCCTTCAAGCTCATTGTAAACACAATGTTTCGTGGAGGGCACTGCATGTTCAAGTGATATTTACAACGCCCTCTGTCCTAGAATTGTGTAACAATTCCCTAGCGTTCTAGTTGCATGATTGTAAGATTGCCATACCTCTTCTCCCTAACATAGATCCTTACTTTTTCCTGGAGGACATTTCAGCATTGCATGTTCTCATCACGATTCACAAATGGTGCGTGAATCAAGTAATTACACTACACAGTAGGAGCAGAAACATACGAAAGCATATCTGCGGAATTGACCTTGTCTGAGCAGTACATATACCTCATGTACCATCCATACCTAATCAACCAGCGAAAATTTAATCCCCTCACGCCTCATAACGACTCATCCTCGGCGTCAGTTGGCGGTTCGATCGTTGACTCTTGAAACCCAGCTGGAAGGAATGAACTGATAAAATAATTGGGAGTGAGTGACAGGCAACCCCGGTCAGTAGTAAAGTATTATTTACCAGGCCAAGTCCCTGGCTTGAGATGAATATGTTCCAACACCCCTCCCACCGCCGACAAGAGATTAAAACCCAATGAAGGGGGAAGAGAGCATGTACCTATGGAGCCTCCCGCGGAAACGGAGCAGAATTTGAAGATGCCTTCGAATGCGGGGTTCTCTTCTCCTACGAGAACTGGGGTTGTGGCTCAGATGGGGTGTGTAAAGATTGAGATGGAGGACGACGTACGCCTCGCCCCGCCGCTCATTTTTATTTTTAGCATTACCAGCTATGGAGATAGACTAAACACCTACGAAAGCATTCGCTTACTTCAAGCTTGTCGTGGCGTTTCGTGGAGGGCTCATGTAAGAATTCCCTACCATTCTATTTGCATGATTGTAAGACCATACCTCTTCTCGCTGACATACATCCTTACTTTTTCTTGGAGGACATTTCAGCGTCTCGAAAAAAGAGGAAAATAATCACGCTACACAGTGGGAGCAGAAATCATACGAAAGCGTATCTGTGGACATAACAAAGCAAGGATACAATTGGGAGAAGCGTAGGTGGGGCAGCCTACTTTGGGAAGTGGCGCACTGGAAAGCGACGACCAAGACGACAACGACTGCAAGGCAGCCTATTGACAAATTGGAAGGAAGGGCGCCATTGATCAAGAAGATGCCGTGGAGGAAGAAGGTAATAAGACCCAAGAGATGAAAGGTGTTCGGAAGGGACAATGCCAGAGCGACCAATTGGAATTTGAATCGCTTTGAAACTCCCGTAAGGTATGCATGCTATAAAAGCAAGGTGAATATCAAATGACGTGATTGTAGATATTTACAACGTACTGCGACTGGAGCTCCACCAGTTTCGAGCCCCTCATGACGATAAACGAGAAGAACAAAGGTAGCTATCAGAAATGTTTTTTCTGACGAGAGCAATGAATTGCCTCACAGATTGGAATGTTGTTTGCCATCCTTGTATGCATCGAGCCATCAACGGATTCCAATCCATAGCCTAACCTGCAGCAAAGCGGAGATGAGGATGTGAAACAAAAACAGTAGCTGTAGAACAACTTACATTCCATGACTTCACAATAGATTTCTGGGTCTTTCTCCCTCCCTTCCTTTGGTTGGCTTCCGTTCTTTGAGCAGCTGACATGCACACATTCATCTGAAACCGTTGAAAGGTTGCTAGACGACATGGCTTAATTCTGATAGGAAAAATAATAAGAGGAAATTCGTACCGTCATCATTGAAATCCTCCACGTCCTCCAACTCTTCATCTTCATCCTCATCTTCGAGGCCACCAGTGCCGAGGGCCCCGAACACAGCTTCAGCCACTCCCTCTACATCGTACTCCTTCGCTAATGCTTCGTCGTCAACGTCAAAGTCAGCTTCGGGGGTTTCTTGCTGAGTTTGGCTACTTGATGGACTCAAAGACTGAGTGGCTTCGAGAGGCCGTGGTGGTATGACAATGGAAAGGACGTTCTTATTCGGCGGCGAGGGATTGACAGTTTTCTGAATAGGATACCTGTCAACGAGTGCATTAGAAAGAATTGGCAATATATTGGAAGATAAAAACACACCAATGGCGGATGAGAGCGTTCCACAGGAACTCAAGGTTGGCTCGTGTTGTGAACCGCAAGGGCTCTCTCTTTCTGATGGTGAAGCTGAAGGTGAGGTCAATATCCAAGGAAGTTGAACGCAGTACTACGAGGGACTTACAGATGGGCTTTGTACACCTCCTCCGTAACCAGGCTGCCATCGGGTTTCTGAGCAAGAAAGAAGTCAGTGTGAAGAAGCTGGGGGTCGATTGGGATGTCGGCAGATGAAGGCGGTGATGATGGAAGCAGGGGAATGCCGGCGTTTGATGCTGTTGATGCGGCAGGCGTTCGTGCCTGGCGTCAAAGCATGCAGGGTTTCGTTATCGTCGTTACAGAGGCTCATATCGGGCGTATTGAATGGACATAAAGTAGTAGGGAACGCGAATAAATAACGGAAAAGGCGAGAAACGGTGGTGGTACAGAGGCAAAGAGGGGAATACTATGTTTGTTCAGGTGTTTGAAACCCATCAGGTGTTTGAAACTGTGGATTATTTTACCTTCCACTTGCCTTGGGGCCTTGGAATTTTCACAGAAGGTGTATTTATGTATTACATTTATTGTCTCAAAGTTTTAGAACGAGAGTCGAAGATTTGTGGTCTGGGGACATGGTTTTGTGGTTTTCATTACACCAGACAAACAAAAGTAATGGAATGTTCTCTCAGATCCCTCCAGATCGGCTTGACTGTTTATTCTAAAACTTTCCAATTGCATTTGAATGGCATACTCAAGTTCAAATAAAAAGATTTAGATAGCGAGGTGAAGTTGTCTTTTCAGGAAGGGCAAAAGACCAAATTCCGTGGTGAAACAGCTCGAAAAACGTGACGTTTACGTGACATTTGCACATCATCCGTCAGCCAAATTCGTTGTTACCTAGTGTGACATGAGTTTCAATCTCCTGATATATCTGAACCCTGAGTACCGGAATGCCTCCGACAGCAAGCACAACACATTTATACCAAAAAAAAGTAGATATTCATATAGAAGAGAAAAAAGATTATTGGCTTGTTAAAAATTTAAAGAATTTGATGAAGTGGTGAGGCAGAAATCGCGCAGCAGTGAAAAAGTTTCAAACACCTGAACAAACATAGTACCTCACGCGTCTAGGTGAGCGTCCTAGCGGTCACCAGCGTTTTGTGACTGCCTGCCAAATTTGGGACGCCGTCACCAGAATCTGGTGACATGGCAGCTTAGAACCCCGCTGGGGTCTCCTCGTTCTGTTCGTGTTATTGGACCTTCTACTCCAGTTGGTGGTGGTGTCAACTTGATTCCTCGTAATGCGGCGCTTCAGTATAAGCTGGCGGATAATGGGCCTGTTTTTTTTTCAGCAGGGAACTGGGGGTGGGGTTTTGTAGGGCTGAGATGTTGAGGTTGATTCGACAATTTTTATCCTGTTAGATTAATCCTTTTGAGTGTAAGTGAGCAAGTCCTGAAGCAGGAAGCCAACACGCGAGTCGGCAAAAAGTGAAGCATTCTACATTATGACTCTCTGTCTGGGAGTCGAACCCAGCTTTCGCGCGCTCGAGCAGGATGCCAGATGACAGGCGCGTGTACTAACCGATATACTAACAGAGACTTTAAAGAAGTTGATTAAGATCATGCATGTGGCACTTTCGATGCATCTCGAGAAGATGTTCTGGGGAACTGCTACATAAATCTTGAAAGAGAGAATCGATAAAAAAAACTTGTTTCCAAAAACCGTTATTAGTAAGTAGTTATATTGAGATTTAATGGCAAGTGCTGTAGTTCACCAAAACTTGCAATTGATAGAATCACACCCAATCATTATCGGGCGCACAATATTGGGCTATATTCGGAGTATCAACTTAAAGCCAGGTCGAACGAAAATGAACCAGAGTATATATGTTTTTCTGGCGTTGGCTATTGTGTTTGAGATGCAACAATGGTATGTAAAAAATCAGTATCCGAAACAATATACCTACTCTCCGTCTGGGAGTCAAACCCAGCTTTCACGTGTAATGGCTACAATTGTTGGTTGCCACAATGTCGTATCCTGACCGATATATTAACAGAGATGGTTGAAAGAGGATTTCAATCTAAAGCCTCATACGGAGGCGCCTTCAGGTGCAAGACTGAGAAAAGTCCTACATACTGCTCAGGATATGTCAGTACGATTAAGGAGAGCAGCACCGAAGTGAACAGGTACCACGAACAAATCCTGGTGCTTCTGTAATTATTCACGCAAGGTAAAGCAGGTCTGAAGGCAGGTAGATCATGTTTTGGGTGCACGCCAGTTGGCCAAAACACGGAAGCAACTCACTCTCTGTTTGGGAGTCGAATCCAGCCTTCACACCATTAAATGCATGAAAGATAGCAGTGTGTATTAACCAATATAGCTAACAGAGAACTTCCAAAAAGTAAATTATGCTCACTGATGTGGTGCTTTTGATGCATCTGACATGGGACAATGATGTGCTCGGGTTCACGATGAGATCGGTTATAACTCCCGAAGGTTAAGATGGGACTTCAACAAAAAAGAATCAGGACATTGTCGAACTTTCTGTTTCCAAAATTCGAAAAAAGAAAAATTTACGGATATACAGCTGTTTTGGATACTATGTAGTTATCTTGGATATGTCACATACTCCTGCATTTTTATGAGATTCATTTCTTGATAGTGTACTGCTGTTAATGTACGTCCACAGGGTACCTTTACAAAAAAAAAAACCCCCAAAATTTGATCAGCATCACACCTAACCAGGCGTGCATTGGGGAATCAAGATGCAGGTCGAACACTGAACATTATTTGAAAATGAACCCAAATGCACAAGTTGGTACATACAAAAAAAAATTGTTCAATAACACCTATTCTATGTCTGGGAGTCGAACCCAGCTGACACACGTAATGGCTTCCAAGGACTGCCATGACAGGTGTGTATAATGACCGATATATTAACAAAGATGGTTGAAAGAGTGTTTTAATTGTGAGATTGATCAAACTCCATGACACCTTAAACAAGGAGTGATTGGGCAGTTGAGCGAAGCCTTTGACAGATTCTGTGACAAATTAATCATTTTTGCACGCTTTATGTAATTAGAACAGACCTATGGGGAAATTTTTATTTCGACAGTGTGTTTGCCTATTGTGCAAAGGCGATGTCCAAATGTAAAGAAATTGTTGTTACTATTTTTAAAATGTGTCTAAAGGTACGTCCACAGGACAAAAAGCTGTTAAGAATTAAAATTTGTAAATGGAACGGATTTCAGGAACAATTCAGTTTGTCTCTTCAGCACTAGGCAAAACTTTAATTTTTAGTAAAGGTTCACCTAGGGAACACAGTTGTGGACAAATTTTAACAATAAGCACATTAATTGTTTTGATTCTGTCAGCCCCGTTGAACAATTGGCAAACATAATGTCACAATAAAAAAATTCCCATAAATCTGTTATAACTACATAAAAGGTGCAAAAATGTTTAATTTGTCACAGAATCCGTCAAAGCCTTCGCTTAACTGCCCAATCATCCCTTGTTTAAGGTGTAACTGATGAGATGTTGCTTGGATACAACCTGATACTTACAACTTGGAAGGAGAGCAATAAGGTACTGCAACAATATCATCAGCTATCACTGATCGGAGTTCACATTCAAATCCAAACAAATTTCTCCCTCCTCCCATCCACCACACGTGAGTTGGTAAAGAGAAAAAATACAGTTGGTACATATGAACTAACTCTCTGTCTGGGAGTCGAACCCAACTTTCGCGTGATAAGGAGTTGGATGTCATGACAGGTGTGTGTAGTAACTGATATACTAACAGAGAACATGCAAACAAGTACACCAAGATCACAAATATGGTGCCTTCTACACACTAGCTATAGGTTGATTCTTTCAAATGAAATTATTTTTATCTGAGGTACTTACAGTCTTTTACAGGTCCTCGATACACCAAATGAAAAACTCTTCCCATCCATGAACGACTTTGGTTTTCCGAAATCTGAAGAGACAGAACCCTTTGTATTACCTTAAATAAGCTATGTACCAGAGCATTTGAAGATACGTGCAAAGCTGGCTGTGTATCTTGTTGAATACTAGTGTATCGAGGAGGTATAAGTCCATTTTAGGAAATGATACCAACAACAACAAGCCTCATTGCTCTGTATTCAACATTGACAGGTCATTATAACTATCGGAGAGTCTTTATAGAAGCCATATGTACCCGCAGATGATATAAGTACACAGATTTGAGGTGGTTTGAAGAAACTACACAAGTGTCAAAAGTGTATCGAGGACCTATTCTGTATCGAGGACCTGCAAAAGACTGTAGAGGAGCAGGTAGCAATGATGTTTTGAGAACATCCAAGTTGGCAAAAACAGTACTACCAAGAAATGCATCAAATTCTCTGTCTGGGAGTCAAACCCAGCTTTCGTATGATCGTTTTGAAAAGCGTATGCGATGACAGGCGCATGTACTAACCGATATAATAACAGAGAACATTAAAATAAGTAGATTAGGATCATCAATATGGTCCTTTCGATGCACTCACTAGGTTGATTCTTTCAACAAATTTAATTATTTGTCTGAGGTAGAGCAGGTCCGGAGGCAGGTTAGCCATCATGTTCTGGGTACATGTGAGTTGGAAAAAAGAATGGGACAAAATAACCAAACTCTCTGTCTGGGAGTTGAACCCAGCTTTCATGTGAGCATACATACAATCCACGAAGTCATGACAGGTGTGTGTACTGACCGATATACTAACAAAGAATTGTAAAGAAGTAGACTAGAGGCTGACACTTAGCAGTGGCAGCAGGCACCTTGCTTGCTGACAAATATGCTGCTTTGCACCAATACAATGTGACTTTTTTTTTGTAACAAAGGAAACAGTGTTCAAGAGCTATAGTGCTACATAGTTATGTATGTAAACATTGGAGCTGGCACTAAGAAAGAGACAATGATATCATGTTTTGAAAAGACCAGTTGTTTGCACTGATTTGCTTGCTCGCATGTGCCATATGCAAGAAAAGAGCTCCATGGCCTGTGGGAAGTTTGTTTGTTCATGCTTGCCTGCTCGCGTGCATGATATGCAAGAAAAGACCTAGCCTCGCAAGCCAGTCGGTGCAGTAACACTCTAACAGAGTTATTTGGTGATGTATACAAGGGGGTAGGAAAATTAAAAAATTGCACCTGGGGTTCCAATTTTTTTTTAGTAGATTTTTGTTGAACCAACCAGCCAACGTAATCAGGCACATGTCTACATTAGGAAATATGATGTCACCACTGTGCTATTTTCAGCTCCACTCCCCCTTGATGTTCCGCCAATGTACTACAAGCCTTGCAAACCCATTTGTCTCTGCCTGCTCAGTCAAGCAGATGATAGATGATACCA